CATTTGTACATTCATTGCCCTCATCATTCTCAAAACATTTCCTCTCCACTTAAACCCCCGGCATTAGGTCCTCATTTTTCCCCTCCCTCCCTCATGAGCCCTTGATAGTTTATAAATTGTTATTTTGTCATATCCTATTTTTCCCTTCTATTTCCTTTCCCCTCCCTTAAGCTGGTTTGATTTTTTTCTTTTTAGTTGGAAAAAGTATATGACCCCAAAAATGAAGAGGATGATATGATAGAAATGGAAGAAGAACGGCTTAGAATGAGGGAACATGTAATGAATGAGGTATGTTTAAAAAGTTTAATTATATACTGTTGGGTATTCAAATTCTTGCAATAAGCCTTGTCATAAGATACAAAATATATACAAATATAAAATATATAAAATTAGATTTTGCAGTTTTGATTCAGACTATTCAATAGATTCCTTTAGCATAAATTAAATAATTTATAACTACTTTAAAATATTTTTAAATTAAAATAATGCATGTCAGCTGTAAGACATTCTTTTAGAGATGGAGAATATATTTCATGCTTAAAAAGTTTGTGTTACTGGCACAGATAGGAACTGGAAATACAGGGAATCCAGGACTGATGAGCTCCTCAGGACCAGTGGTGAGAGTGGCGATATCAGGAGGGTGGAGTGAAGGTGAGGGAGAAAGGGGGAACAGATTATAAGGTCTACATATATCCTCCTCCCTGGGGGACGGACAGCGGAGAAGTGGGTGAGGGAGACGCCGGATTGTGTAAGATAGGACAAAATAATAATAATTTATAAATTATCAAGGGTTCAGGGGGGAGGGCGGACTGGGGAGGGAAGGGAAAAATGAGGAGCTGATACCAAAGGCTCAAGTAGAAAGCAGGTGTTTTGAGAATGATGTTGGGAACATATGTACAAACGTGCTTGACACAATTGATGTATGTGTGGATTGTGATAAGAGTTGTATGAGCCCCTAATAAAATGATAAAAAAAAGTTTGTGTTAGTTTCTGCTACAGAAAACACCATCCATGACAATGGATTATGACAACAAATCTTTGTCTTGTTCATATTATATGAACCTTAAGGGTTGATTGTCTCTCTCTGTAGCCCTCCTGCCTCACTTTCGCAAACCAAAAAATGTGGTCAGATCTCAAATACAAGATAACTAGAGTCCACTTGTTTTGCTTCAGTGACTTTCCATTTGATATTTGAGCTCTTAGTGTTGAATCGGGATCCCTGTTGAGTGCTAGCAGCCCAAGTACCAAATGAATTTATTTGTCTAGTCCAGAGCTCGCCTTTGTATCTGAATTTGCCACAGACCACAAGATCCATTGATGAGGCTGTGTAGAGCTTTTCAACCTTAGTTTTGATTTAGTCAATTGTTTTTAAGGAAAAATAAACAGAGAATTCTAATTTAAGCTCTCTTATTTTTGGATAAAACAGTCTTTTTTGGTTAGTTTGGTTTTTGTTTAAGTATGTGGTGTGTTGAGAGAAGGAACCCCGATGGCATAGTAGTTACAGATTAGGCTGTGATCTGCAAGGTCAGCAGTTCAAAACCACTAGCCATTCCGTGGGGGAAAGATGGGGCTTTTTACTCCTGTAAAGAGTTACAGTCTCCCATGTTACAGAACCCATGAGGACAATTCTTCCCTGTCCAGTAAGGTTACTATGAGTTGGCATCAACTCGGTGACAGTGAGTTTGCCTTTTTTTTTTTTTGGTGTGTGATGAGAGAAGAAACTACAATATCATCCTAACCAGTCAGATCAGCAGGCTCAGACATGGTGATCTGTGGGTATTAAATTAGAAACAACCTACTGCTGTTGAATTAATTCTGAGCCATGACAACCAGTGCTATAGAGTAGAACTGCTCCATAGGGTTTTTTGGTTGTAATCTTTATAGACAATTATTTTTGGTACGGTGACACTGATCACTGTACCTAAACAGAACAAGCCACCACCAACAAAAAACTGCTTGGTGTTCGACCATTTCAAGAGATCGTGTATGCTCAAGAACCAATATTACTGCAGGAAGAAGTTCAAGCTTCACTGAAGAAACTGGTGAAAAACATGGTTGCAGGAATTGACATAATATCAATCAAAATGTGTAACAAACTGATAAAGCAACAGAAGCACTTACTAGCCTATGCCAAGAAAGTTGGGAGACCAACTAGACGAGATCCATATTTATATCCATCACAAAGAATGGCACCCCACAGAATGTAGAAATTATCAAAGCAATGTCATCACATGAAAGTAAAATTTCATGAAGACAACTCAAAAACAGTTGCAGTTCATTGAGAGGGAGCTGCCAGAAATTCAAGCTAGATTTTGAAGAGGATATGGAACAAGATATCATTGCTGACACCCGATCGATGATGGCTGAAAGCAGAGAATACCAGAAAGATGTTTAATTAACTGTGCAAAGGTATTTAATTGTGTGGATCATAACATTGCAAAGAACAGGAATTCCAGAACACTTAATTATGCTCATGCAGAACCTGTACATAGGTCAAGAGGCAATCGTTAGAATAGAGGAACGGAATACTCGCTTGCTTAAAATCAGAAAAGGTGTTGAGTAGTATCCTTTCATACGTATTCATTCTGTGTGCTGAGAAATAATCCAAGAAACTGAACTATATGAAGAAGAAAGCAGTGTCAGGATTGGAAGAAGACTTATTAACTCATAATACACAACTGCATAACCTTGCTTGCTGAAAGTGAGGAGAACTTGAAACACTGGATGAAAATCAGACTGCAGCCTTCAGTATGGATTGCAAGCCAATATAAAGAAACAAAAATCCTCACAACTGGATCAATAGACAACACCAGAATAAATGGAGAATAGATTGAAATTGTGAAGGATTCCATTTTCCTTGACTCTACAGTCAACACTCATGGAAGTAGGAGCCAGGAAATCAAATGACTTACTGCACTGGGTAAGTCTGCTGCACATGCTTCATTTACGTGTCCAAGAGCAAAGACTCCACTCTGAAGGCTAACGCGCACCAGATCAAACCATGGTATTTTCACTCACTCATATGCAGGAGGCAGCTGGATGTGAGTAAGGAGGCCTGGAGAATCATGGATGTGCCAGGACTGCCAGAGGACAAATAACCCTGTGTCTGAAGAAGTGCATCCAGAATTCTCCTGAGAAGGGAGAATGGCCAGACTTCCTCTCACATACTTTGGTTATGTTATCAGTAGAGACCAATCCCTGGAAAAGGACACCGTGCCTGGTCAAGTAGAGGATCCGTGACAAAAAGCAAGCACCTCAATGAGATGGATTTACCCAGTGTTTGCTACAGTGGGTTCGAGTGTAATAACGTCAGAATTCACGTGAGCTAACAGCAGTTTTTACCGAAGTAGATTGGGCTTTTATGGGGCTGCTGATTTGGTTTGAACCATCAATCTTTAGATTAATAATCAAATGTAAACCATTTTAGCCATCTAGAGACCTTTTTGAGATATCAGGTATTACTATTTCCAAATATGAGTTATATAGATGGGAAAGATATTTACCTTCTGATTTTATTATAATATTGAATGTTATAAATTGTACCCCCTCAGGGCCTATGAATACTTAGGCTGCTTTCAATGGCTATATGTAGTAATATATATTAAAAGACAGTTTCTTTAATCAGGTTGATGCTAACAAAGATCGATTGGTGACCCTGGAAGAATTTTTGAAAGCTACAGAAAAAAAGGAATTCTTGGAGCCAGATAGCTGGGAGGTAATAGAGCCTACCTTACATGTGTTGTTCTTGTAGGGTTCATCGGTATATTCTATATTAATATATTCTTCTTTTAAATTTCTATTTACATTATGCTTTCATGTATACTCTTACTAATGGCCCCCACTCCCCTTTCTTTTTAACTTTTGTTGTGATTTGGGTCAAAATTTATAGAGCAAGTCAATTTTCCATTCAATAATTGATACACATTTTGTTATATACCATTAATCAGGGGTATGAACAATCCCCACAATGTAACAGCACTCGTTTCATTTACTCCCTTGGTTTCCTGTGTCAGTTTGTCATTTCTTCTTCTCTTCCTGTCTCTGAGCTCTGTCTCGGTGCAAGTGCTACCTTACTGATACTGAATATGAGGCGTAGTAAACAAGTATTGCTACTGGGGTTTGCACAGCTATTCCAGACAAAGCATGTTTGTTTCTGAATCCATGGATGACTGCAAGCAAGTTATATGCTAGATAGGTAACTCATTTTATGCTATATGTATAAATTACACGTTTCCAAATTGAAATAATAAATTGCATAGTTTGTTTCCTTACAAGTGACTTCTAATTTTTTCCTTAAGCACACTTGTCTTAGTCTCGAGGATACCAAAACTTCCATTTTGATATGTTATAAATCAAAGGATGGAGAATTATTTGGGAAGGGGTACAGAAACACCAGCAGTAGAATTGTACAGATCTAGATGGAGGACATGTCAAGAGACAATAGCCTCACATTTTGATATTTTTTCTAGTGAAGACTTCTACGATTTTATAGTAATAGATTCTGATTTAGCCTTATAGTGTTGCCTTTTTGTACAAAATGTTGATATAAAGCAATGAACTTGCTTTAATGAAATTATTTTGTAATCATAGTATATTTGTATATAATTAGAGTTCCTCTTAAAAATTATACCTTTTTCTCAGTATTAAATAATATTTTGTATTGAAGATTAGAAATAACAGATACATTTAAAGAATAAATTAAAGTTAAAACTTTTAATTCTGGTTTTAGTTTTTAATTTGCATATATACTCATATTTTAAATGTCACCATTTTGTATAGATGACTTTGTATGTGCTTTTAAATTTTAACAGTAGTTCATGAACATTTTCTAATGGCATTATTCAAAAATAAGATTTTAAAATTGACTACAACCATTCCTCCAAATTTGGACATTTGGGTCAATCCTAATTTTATACTATAAATACATAGTACTGTGATGAGCATCTATTTTTTCATATGTTCTGAACAATCTATGATGATTTTCCTTAGGTTAGTTCCCAGAAATAGAACTATTCTCATGTTAAATGAATACAGTATATATATTTCTAACTTTCCCAATTTATCTTAACAGATTGCTCCAGAAAGGTAAACCAATTTTTAACATAGCCAATTATATATAACTTAAGTGCATATACAACTGCAAACAAATAGTTGAGCAGTACTAATTGAATATGGCCTTTTTTAACACAAAAAACAAAATAAAAAGATTAATATTTAATTAGCTTTTTCATGATTGAGAAAATAGTTTGAGATAAGATGACTGGCGATTCTTGTTCACCCTACACTAGGGGGTTTCTGCAGGAGCCCTGGTGGTGTAGTGGTTATGTGTTGGGCTGCTAACTGTAAGGTCAGCTATTCAAAAACACCAGCCACTCCATGGAAGAAAGATGGGGCTTTCTACTCCCATGAAGAGTTACTGTCATGGCAACGCACAGAGCCAGTTCTCCCCAGTCATTGAGGGTCACTGTGAGTCAGAATTGACTCTGTGATAGTGAATGAGAGAAAGGGTTTCTGGGATGTGAGCTTTACAGTGCTAACACCAGGACAGTACTTGGGTGAACTGGAACAATTGCCCTAGTTTGAGATCAAGGAAATCCACCTATTTTTCTTCTGTATTTTAGTCAGTCATTTGAAATACTTCTGGATTTTGGTAAAGAAGAATACTAAGCTAATTTGAATAGATGAGGAGACTTAAAAAAAAATTCATGGGAAAATTCCATAAACTTTTAGAAGCCACTTTATAGATTTCCTTTAGTGCTTAGGAGATTAATACTTAATTATAATTTGTAAAAAAATTTAAATGATCTCAGATTTACAAGAAGTTGCATTCTGAATACTTTAAACCTAGATTTCCCATTTTACTACATTTCTTTTATGTTTTTCTTCCATCTTCCCTTCTCTGCATGGCTGTCTGTCTACATATGAAGGGGCTTCAAAATATTCATTATTTTCCCCCAAAAACATTCATAGAGACATTCCATTGTCTTTTAATTCAATTTTCCACAGTTTTTGGGATTGGGTATGTATAAACGATACAGTTTTTAACTGTTTATGAGTAAGTAGCATGTGATGCTGTTTGAATGCTAAATACTTTAGTGTATATTTCCTATACAAACAAGGATTTATCTTCCATAACTATAGGAAATTATGAATATCGAGAAATAAAAACTGAAACAATACTATTTTCAGATTTTACTGGCATTTTGTCACACACACACACACACACGCAAAAAAAAAAAGTCTTTTAGGGCAAAAGAAAATACATGATTGATCCTCCATTAAATTCTGTTATCATGTCTTTTTTACCCATTGCTATTAAGTCAACTTTGGCTCCTTGATTGTCAGAGTAGGGATTTTGGTGTGTAATTTTTCAAAAGTTGATCACCAGACCTTTCTTTCATGGTGCCTTTGGAAGAACGTGACTCTCTAACCTTTTAGGTTAGCAATCAGGGGCTTCTTTAGCTTCCTTTAATCTGAGACGGTGCTCGCGTCTTTCTGAGTAGCTTATGGTCCTTTTGAAGACATCCCTTTTGAAAAGTACTGACCAGTTATTTTAAAGAACGCTCCTCAATTTGAGTTTGTCTGATGTTTTCTCTTGACACCTATCTTTAGCTGAATACCACTGAGGTGATGCTGTGTTCTTCTCAGAACATTTTATCAGGGTCTATGTGCTATCAAGGTCTATTATTCTCATGATTGGTGATGTTAGCATTGATCATATAGTCAAAGAGATGTCTGCCCGGTCTCCCTACTGTAAGCTTAATATTTTACTTTTTGTTCCTAAAAAAGTACTTTATCTAATGTACCATACTTCCAGAACCAAAAGTCAGCTCCTTTGATTCACTCAACATTCTGTCAAATGTATTTCCACATAATATGTGAAAGCATTATTTTAATAACTATGGAGGTTACTGAACTGTTCTCTCAAAGTTAGACCTTTATCTCCAGTCTTTTATTCTTATTTTAAAATGCTTCAATAAACATATTTTAATGTAGTTTTTGATATATTTAGGTTTATTGCATAGGATAAGTTTTCAATGTAGAATTACCAAGGCCAATGATGTTGGTATTAATGATGTTGATATACTTTGCAAAAGAGTTTTTATAAGTGGTGTCTTGATTTATATTTCCAACAATAAAATATTAGAGTTTTCATTATCAACTAAATTTAGCTTAGATTGATGATTTCAGCATGATTGATAGTTTTGATTAATTATTTTTATGAAAATTAACAAATGGCAATTTTCTAATTTGGTCATTGCTTTGACATTCATGAGTTGACTTTCTATTGTAAGGAGAAATTCTCCCATCCCATCCCTTCCTCTCTCCTCTCCCATCCCCTCTCTCCATTCATCCATCCATCCTCCCATCTATCTGTCTATCTACATGTGAGAGCCCTGGTGGTGTGGTAGTTAGGATTTGGGCTGTGATCCACATGGTTGTCAGTTGAAAGCCAACAATAGCTCTTCAGGAGAAAGACTGGGCTTTCTACTCCTGTGAACAGTTACAGTCCCAGAAACACACAGGGAGTTGCTGTGAGCATTAATGGCAGTGAGTTTGGTTGTGGATCTAACTATGTACTTACCTACCTATACCAATTATACCAACCTAAACCCATTATACCAACGTGGGCCCATGGCTTATTTTATTCAATAGACTCTGATCTTTATTTTCATTACTTACATGTTTTAATATTCAAATTACTCCAAATTTGGCTCATGAACATTTCTTCACTTATATATCCCTCTGAAATGCCCCCCACCATTCTTTCAAGACTTCCTTAATTTCTAGCATAATAATATCTTCAAGGCCTCTCTCATCTTTCTTTGACTCACCCCTGGAATTAGCCATTCTATGTGGAATCTTGGTTCTTCCTGGAATTTTAAAGTGAAATCATACTTTGTTGTTATATTTCTAGGATTATTTTCTCTCTCTTTTGTTCCTTTTAGACATTGGATCAACAACAGTTCTTCACAGAGGAAGAACTGAAAGAATATGAAAATCATATCTCTTTACAAGAAGATGAGCTGAAGAAGAGGGCAGATGAGCTTCATCAACAAAAGGAGGAGCTCCAACGTCAGCATGACCAACTGCAGGCTCAAAAGATGGAGTATCATCAGGTAGTGTTTTATGTGACGCTAAAAACTACTTCATGTGCTTCACTGAAAGCTGATATCTTTGTGACAGCATTTTGAAGTATTATCAGCTATAGGATTTAAGTATCTATATTGTTTTGAACTGCTACCTAAAATATTAAATGAAATGTTTTAGAATTTGAGCATTTTCTTTTTGGAAAACTATTTTCAGTTTGTTTCTTGTGCATTGTCAAAAGCAGGGGTCCTCAAACTACGGCCTGCGGGCCACATGCGGCCCACCAAGGACATTTATCCCTCCCGCCGGGTGTTTTTGCCCCATTTGTTTTTTTACTTCAAAATAAGATATGTGCAGTGTGCATAGGAATTTTTTCATAGTTTTTTTAAAAACTATAGTCCGGCCCTCCAACCGGTCTGAGGGACAGTGAACTGGCCCCTGTTTAAAAAGTTTGAGGACCCCTGGTCAAAAGTCTTACAAGTACTTATTTTTAAGGTTTTGTTTTTTCTACTCTCTAGGCTGTACAGCAGATGGAACAAAAAAAGTTACAACAAGGAATTTCTCCTTCAGGGCCAACAGGAGAATTGAAATTTCAGCCACGTATGTAATTTTGTTTTTTTGTTTTTCTAAGCACATAAATAATTGAATAAATGGAAACTCACATTTGCTACAAATACAATTTCTAATAATTAAAATTTGTTACTTTTCATATGTTAGTTGACTTATATTACAGATAAATGAAAACACCTCTAAAATATTTATATATCAGCATATTTCAAATGCTATAAAATTTGAGTAACCATATTTATGGCAGAAAGTTTATTTCAACATTATTCGTAATTCTTTGTAATCAATTGTATTGGCCTTACCAAAGAATATTTAAAAAAAATTATAACCTTTGATTGCTGAGCATATTAAAAAATAAATATCCAGTGTACTTCTACATAAGAGAACATGCAGAAAAGAGGATACCTCTAAAATGAGAGCGTATTTTTTTTGATGCAGACGTGTAAAGTCCGAAATCCACCACGGCCTGGAGGACCGCCGGTAACACAGCATCTGTTCCATCTTTTCACTACCCTTTCTTTTACTCTGCTCAACAAATATCTTAAAATATATTTGGAATAAATAAAGAAGATAACTTTTACATAAGGCTGTATTTCTTGGGCATGGATACGTAAGACGTGAAATCCGCCAACACGGTGGGAAACGACCCAGCATCTGCTTTCACTTTCATACCTTTTGCCCTTTTCTTTGCTCTGCTGCCCTGATTTGACAGCCCTGCTGGTGCTGTCGGGGAAGCATTGGATTCCTGACTACAAGATTGGCGGTTCAAGCCCACGCGCCCCTCTACAGGAGAATGATGAGCTATCTGTTCCCTCAAAAATGTATAGCTCTGAAACCCTATATAGGGTTGCTATGACTTGGAATCAACTTGATGGCAGAGAGAGAGATAGTTTTAAGGGCATAATTGAATAAAGCTATCAATAAGTATTTAAGTGGAAATCTCTTGCGATTGCTTTTCAGATAGATTGGTGTCACTTAAGTCATGAAGATAGCTGCTCTTTTATGGGTACATTTGTGTCACTTGGGGGCCTTGGGGGCACAGTGCTGGGTTGCTAACAAGAAAGGTGGCAGCTTGAATCCATGAGGTGCTCAGGAGACAGATGAGAGGAACTGCTCCCACAGAGACGGATAGCCTTGGGACCCACAGGGACAGTTCTACTCTGTCCTGTAGAGTCACAATCAACCCAGTGGCAGCGAGTGAGATTTCTGCCTTTAAGAAGGCTAATTTTATATGAACAGTTCTTCTCCTAAGGAGGCTATAGTAATTTCCATTATTCATGGTAACTTTTTCCTAAGTTCAACATACTTAATTATCTATAAAGCCTTCAACCGAATGACTTTTACTATTACTTGAGGTAATGTTTTATTCATATTTTTGCTTTATACTTTATTATTAAAGATTAGGTTTAATTACATATAAAACCCAAAGATAACAGTAGCTTAAGCAAAATAATTTTCCCTCCATTATATAAAAAAATCTGGAACTAAATATTATCCAGATTCCTAGCTGTTCTGCTTTGCTTTCCTCAATGCAGGTTTTTAATCCTCAAAGTACCTCACAGTCCAAAGTGGCTACCCAAGGTAGTGGGGAGGGCAATAAAAGGCACTTTCCCCGTTGAAATAGCATCCTGTAGGCAATTTCTCAGAACGATGTAACACTTGAACTTAAATCTCATTGGCCAGAACTGAGTCACATGGTCACACCCAAACGCAGGGGATATCCTTAGGTCTATCAGTCTAGCTAGGAGTTGTTAGATGCTGTAAGGGGCTATTTTGACTCATAGTCACCTGATGTGACACGGTAGAGTTGTCCCATAGGGTTTTCCTGCTTGTAATTTTTATGGAAGCAGGTTGCTAGCTCTTTCTCCCTCAGAGCTGCGGGGTGAGTGCAGATCGCCAGCCTTTGGGTTAGCAGTTGAGCATGAAAGGGAAAAGGAATGTTTGACAAGCTTTAGTTTTAACCCCAACCAGCCTTGCTAGCTATCTAAATCTTCAGATACATTCTTTTGAAACACAGAAAATATTCATTCTACAGCCTCCCCCACCCCGCCCCCAAACTCCTAAATCCAAGTCATTACTGCATGTCATTCAAAGACCATGATCGCTGAGTGTAGTTGCCTCCATTTTGTTAGAATGTTTCCGTGGGTTCTGGCCATCTGCAAATTAAAAGGCAATGTATTTGTATCAAGAACGACTTATATGCAGTGGTGGTTTAAGTGTAGGACACCTACAATAAAACCTACCATTTAGAAAAGGGAAGAATGAGAAGTATCGCTATCACTGACTCACAGGAATTACCATAACTACTGCTTGATAAAAGTAACCAGGACCCTCCGTTTACCCATAATACATTGCTCGATTCAACTTTCTGGGAAGAACACCCTGGTCTAATGTTCTCAGGGGCCCCTGGCTTTGCCCTAGAGGAAGTTGTAAAACGTTTAACTTTTCTTAATCAATTTTCACTGAGAAGTCTGCCCTTCTTGGAAACTGCCCTGCTTTAGCGATTCACTTTCTGTTTGTATGTGTTTGAGGGCTCGGGTGACTTTTAGAGTTCTTCCTGTTTGTGTGTGTTTGAGGGCTTAGGGGTGATTTTAAAGTTGACAGTCAATGTTGAAAGTCAGATGTGGCATTGCCACTGTGCCTTTTGACAAACTGGCTTCCTGAAAACTTAGTAAGCTTCCCTCTGTTTTCTTCAGTCATTTCCATCAGTACCCATGATCTTGCCAAAAACAGTTGCAACACTGAAGAATCTCATTTTTTACTTGCCAGCTTCTTTGCTTTCTTATCCCTAGAGTCTTCAATAAATGGTACTTACTTGGGATCGTGTTAAACTATAGGCTTGCATGGGATGGCCACAGTCTAATCTGTTCCCTTAGGATGGCTCCTATTGCTTTACAAAAAAAGGGAAAGTTCTTGAAAAAAAGTTGAGGAAGCTGCTAAGTCTGTTTTCTCTAAGCGTAATGAAAGAAAACCTGTGTTAGTGTGAAGTACGGAAGCAGTTGTCTTTTTCACTTTCAAATTTAGGACTTCATATAGATCCCTTTGCAGATCTGTGGGCTCGCTAACTTGTCCTGAGTCCCATCTCTCTGTAGGACATTGCTGTACAAGACAGTAGCCAGCCTGCACATGCTAGTAGTCTGACTCCCTGCCACCATGTCCTTCAACATTTTAATTCCAGGTGACATGAGATTTCACTATCCAAAGGCCTGCCTGCTCAGCCAAGCCAACCCTGCATTTACAGTTCTTTCATATGCTTTGTACTTTATTTGGTCAAAAGATTATTGCTATAGGCAGTGAAATAATTTTAGGTATTAAACAGAAAAAGATTTATTAAAAGGTATAGAAATCTCACAGGATCTTTGAGAGGGCTGAAGAAACAGAACCTAGGCTGAGCTTGCTTCTAGGAACCACATCACAGGAATGGACCGCCAGAGGAGCTGCTGCTTCTGGAACAATTAAGAAGCTGCCCCCCTAACCACCCTCCTGATCAGAAAGATGCCCTGAACAATTACGAGCTCCAGAACCACAGCACATCTGCCAACTTTGGGCCAGCAAAATTGGATACGTCATGTCCTGCCTCTCTCCTCATATAATTCGATTGTGAGCAAGAGTCTCAAGTGAGTGCCTCTGATGAGTGGGACCAGTCCTACCTGGAAACCTAGCTACAAGGGCAGTTGGGAAATAGAGTGTCGGCTTTCCCACATCCATAGTATGGAAATGTATGTAGAAAGCTGTTGAGAGAACTAGTTTATCATAACACAACATAATTTTGTTTCTTTTAATCTTAAAAATAATCTGCATAGTCATCCAGACATACTTCAGATTTATTCCTAAATCTTATGTTTCATTATACCTTTAAATTATAGTTCCAAAAACTCAAAAAATTATGTTTACTTAAAGCTTACATAAAAACTAAAACAACAACAAAAACCTAGCGTAACACTCATTATGATAATAATGCTACATTTCTTTAGAGATGGGGGAAAATTTCTCCACTGTCTAATTGAAGCAAACATAGACAATTGGCTGGTACATCCTTTTGTTGATGATAGTTGTCCTCGGCCAGAAACTGATAAAACATAATTTCTCCTAGTTTTAAAATGATGGGTTGGTGTTCACTCACAAAGTGCTTGGAGAAGAATTTAGAGTACTTTCTTGAAAAGCTTTTTTGGCAGGTGGAGATAATAGATGGATATTAATGTAGGTGTACAGCCAATTATTATGATTTATGTTATTCAAAAAAGAATGATTAGCCTAAAATGATGTATGGACTTAAGGAATTCTAGTTCTTATGAGTACTAGGCATTTGTGAGTGTGTATTATTTCTGAGAATATTGCTAATAACATTCTCTATAGATCTACTAGAAAATATTGGCCTTAGGTTTCATTATACCATTGTACTTCCTACTTCCTTAGAAAGTCTTCCATAACTTGGAGTTTTGTTTTATCTCTGAATAAGTAGGAAGCATGTAAGTGTAGTATATTTAAGTATATATAATTAAAATAGAAGTAGATTTTTATAGATAATGTTCCTCTGGAATATGTAACTCTCACTTAAAGAGAATTGTGAATGAGAAGTAGTATTGCAGAATCCTCTGACACATGCTGTTGACTCTACAGTGCTTTAGACTCGAGGTGTGTCTGCAGCAGTCTTGCTTTTCAGATTGGTCAAACAGACTTGTATTACTGTAGATCTAAATGCAAATTAGTTTTCCACATGAGGAAAAAATAAAAATGAAAATTTAATTTTTGTGATAATAATAATAATAATGTTTTTTTTAAAAAAAGATGAATAGCCAGTAAAACAGGGAGAATGCAATCTGTTTTTCATATCAATTTTGACAAACCTGGTTCTGGTTATTGCATGAATTTTAATTTTTGTTTTATAGCTGTGCAGTACAATCAAGAAGAAATAGAAAAAGAGCCAGAGCTAAATGACAAGCTTCATCGTTTCCATGCAAGATTTTTATCCCCAGAAGAACCTGCTAGAGAAGCCCACCTTCATCCTTAACCACCGGTGCCTTGAGTTAATAATTTTTAAGTTCATTGTTTTTATTGGTATTGGGAGAATAAGTTGTAGCCAGGAATTTACAAACATTGCTTTTTTTGTTGTTGTTGTTCCTTGTGAGTGATGTAATTGGGAAAACTGTATAAGTTGTTGTTTTTTTAACTCAGTGCCTGAGATAGTTTATTGTGCCAGCCTGGCCGATAAACACAAGTGGGATTAATTGAGAGGCAGAGAGATAAATGGCTCAGTGAGCCTCGCCTTTCTTGTCTCTCACTCTTTGATCATCGGACCAGTGTGCGACTGCCTTGCTTGTTCTGTGCCTCAATTTACAGGCTACATTACCTGTGGGACACCTAGCCTGTGGACTGTGTCGCTGTAAGTTGAAGTTCCTTTAAGACCACATGATTGAAATTTACATCTCTGGAGCTGGGGATTGACAGTTGGTGACCTGCCTTGCTGTTTTGCTGCCTGTGCTGGGATAGCCTAGCTCGCTCTCTCTACAGAGGACTACCGGGCGGCCCTCAAGACTTGAAGGACTGCCAGTGTCTCACAACTCTCACAGGACTGAGTTGCACTGAACCATTTGTACTGCTTTATAATTTAACTGTTCATTTCTTGTATTATATATCTATCTGTCTGTTTATAATTTAACAGTTCATTTCTTGTGTTATATATATCTATCTTTATAAATATATATATATATAATTATCAGCAATCTGGTTTTATCTCTCTAGAGTACCCTGTCTAACACAGTGCCTTTTTTTCATTTGAAATATAATTTCACTTAAAATTTTTACAACACAGCATGCAGTAACACCTAAAATAAGAGTGCAGAGAGGATGAGAATATAAAGGTTAAAGATTAAGAACAGAAAGGCTGCCTTTATTAAGACTAAATCCCTGGTTTGTTTTTCATACACATTTACAAACATACGTTCAAATTATTCCTTTTCAGTACTCTTCAGCCCAAGAGAAAGGATGGGGTGGGGTGGGGTGGTAGAGATTCAGATATTAGATTTTCATAGAAAGCAAATCTGGAATAGTCAATATACTGTTCTCATTCTTAGAGATTTTGTGAAGGAACCTATTTCCTTATTGGGATTTTCAATGTACATTTCATTAACTATAGGTATAATTTCTTTAATAAAGGGTCGAGATCATGTCCTCTCCCACACTGCACTGAGGTCTTAGAACCAGAGGGACAGGAAGTGGAATTTGGCAGAGCAGCGGGGCAACTAGGCAGACCCCAAACCAACACCTAAACCCAAACCAATTGCTGTTCAGTCACTTCCAACTCAGGGCAGCCCTGTGGTGTCGTTGGTGTACAACGGTGTTCCACAGGGCCTTGGGCAGAGTGCCCTCCCATAATCTTTTGAGGAAGTCTGAAGCAATTCCATTTTCACAGTTCCCCTCACTAGCACTGAGGAACATCCTGGGCATAAACATTTCTGTCACTGAAGAGGAGGAAAGAGACACTGTGGGGGAAAGGCCAGCCCCCACAACTAATCGCTGATTTGATAGTAAGGTTAACATATGTAAAGGTTAACAATTGTAAGGTTAACATATGTAAAGATGATAATAAAGTCATAGAAAGTAAGAGAGATTGAAATAATGGAGTCAGACACATTTCATGGTAGCATGCTCACCTCAGCCCTGCTAGGTGATCCACATGAAGATGGGAGACGGGAGGGTAGGAGAAAGGGGGAGGGGAAGGAGGACAAGGGAAAGGGAACAGGGGAGTGAGGACCTGGGGAGAGAGGATGGGAATTGCCGAGAGAGAGTTCTTTATTGCTAACCCAGGCTTATATATCTTTGGGGGGCGTGCTAGCCCCCTATGACATATGTCATAGGAAGGGGTTGCACTATAGGTTATACAGCAATGAGGGGCCACAATCTAGGGATATACAAGCAATAGGAAGGGGAGGGAATGGGGGTGCACATGTCACAAGATGGGCAGATCCTAGATTCAGGATGGCAGCCTAGCACTACACTCAGACCTCACTCTAACACAAGCATCTGAAATCACAGGGTAGAAGTAGTCTCCAGTCACAGATTGTAAAAACTCCATTGTCTACCAGAGACTACCCTTTGTTCCTGAGGAGAAAGCAAAACTGGAGACAATGAAGAGATCACCATAAGTGTTACGTATATCCCTTGGTTTTCGATGCTGAAAATCAGTGTGATCTTTGCATTTGCTGTTACGAAGTGGAGCGTTTTCAGATTTGCAGAGACTATGTATATATGCCATTCCTTCCTTCGACACAGGAATTCTTCCTGCCTAAGGAAGTAATTCGGAAAATAATTTTCATGTAAGACATATTTCCCAGTGAACACAGAGGCCATGCAAATTTGGACAGGAAAGACAACACTTAAAACTGTTCATGGTTATTCAAATAAAATTATACAAGAGAGAAAAATCAAATACACAACAGTGAGACTATTCGTGATCAGCATATACTTATGTGAAATTAAATGACAAGTCAGTATTATTCCAGTGTGTAGCTTTGGAACACAGGAACTGCTGTTGCTAAAGACTTCATGAAAAACCATTCACATTGAGGTGTTTGGTCACACATCACACTGTTGCTAAAAGCTTGCAAAGAATACCAATGAACTTTCCGGGCCAATTATGGAAGTTGCATTTTAAAGCTACAGCTAGAGAGACAGTACAGCTTAAGCATCTCTTAACATAATTTAGTAAGCTGCGGCAAATTCTGGCCAGAAGAGGCCAACCTTAGGATAAATACCTGTTCGTACATGATTTTGCCCCCTTTCCTAAAATGTTCATATAACTTTTTGATCTTTTCCTTCTGATCTCGAAGTCAATTCATAGTATTTTCCTAGGCTACATACAGTTTTATTCCAATGCTGATCCAATCGATGATCATTTGTCAATCTATTAAATATACAGCACAGCAACTATGTTCTTCAACAGAATTCCAGTTATTACCTATTTGTAAGCATATAAGTTGATAACTGTGATAACTAAAATAACTTACAGTCATCCTTTGCAATAATTTATATCGCCTCATTTCCCTATACAATAATTTTATTTTTATGTTGCATTTGAAGGAAACCAAATCTTTTCTTGTTTTTTCCTTTTTTCATTAAATAAACAATTAGGATTTCCTTGCCCCATTTAAACATTTTTCTTTTTTAAAATAAGTAGTTATGAACTAGCACATGTACCCTAGCAAATCCAAGAGCAGAATTAGAGCATGCAGCAGCAAACGGTGAAGCCACCAAATTGAAGAATTTAGCTATTTGGTTTCCAGCACAGCCAAACTGTTTCTTGGTTGAAGACAAAACCCAAACCAAACTAAACCAGGGAAGCCTTTGATTTAATCTTCGTAATTTAGACTTTAAAATATTATCTATAGATGAGTGTACACTCCACAACTTTCCCTGCAGAGCTTGTAGCAGATGTTTTACTTGCAGGTGGTATCACTCATCCTCTATGGACACACGGTACCTGCTTGCTTGTAGCCCTCAAAGGTTTGCATCCCTGTGAAATAAATTTCATTTTGTTTACAATCTGCTACAAAGAACAGATTTCACTTTTGCTGTGTAATCATACCTACCTCCTTTTGTTTTACCCCTAATAAATAAGTGTATTTCCCAAGGCTCCCCATATTATGAATATATATCTCACAATTAAGTTATTAAAATATCTATTTTATGATCTTTATAATCTTATTACTTCATGGAACTTTTTAAAATAGAGAATTTTTAGGTTCCACTTGATTTTAAAGTTAATGACTTCTCTGGGGGTTTCCAGGTGAGTAAAGAAATACGATTTCAGGGAGAGCGGAACAGGGAGGGAGGGGGAAAATGAGGGACTGATACCAATGGCTCAAGTAGAAAGCAAATGTCTTGAGAATGATGATGGCAACAAATGTACAAATGTGCTTGACACGATGGATGGATGGATGGATTGTGATAAGAGTTGTCCGAGCCCCCAGTAAAATGATGTTTAAAAAAAAAAAAATGATTTCATCTGGTTTTCTTTGCCTGCTCTCATGAATCACATTTTGTATGTTCCATATTTTTGCCCATCTTAAATGTTCATTTTCATTTAACTGTGTCCTTTAATTAAATTCCCACTCCCACTTTGGATTCCCTGTTTAAGGAGTGTGAAATACATAAACAGCCCCTGCCATTCTGTCTCAGTGTCATAATTATGTCACTATACATGTTTTGCTTTCCACTATTAAATTTTGTTAAACTGACTTGAATTTTACCCTTTTTGGTTTTTGGTGTTTCTACTTTCTAAATATGTGCTTGTTAGACTAGCATGCCTTATTGATAATTTTCTTTTTAAAACATTTGCCATGTCTTTTAATGTTTTAAACATTTTTTTATCATATTGAAACATTTTTGTGAAACACATTATAAAATTCTGTAATCTTTGCTTAGGGATTCCTTTGTGTTCTGTAGCCTTGATAATGTCTTATAGAATTTTCATCGTTTATTCTGACTAAATCTCAGTTCTCACTCTGAATACAGTTTTTATTTCTCTTGATATGCACATAATTTTATTCTCTTTGGTGTTCATGGTACGTTTTATTGAGAGTCAAGGTTTATCTTGGGAAAAGAAATCCACCTTTGCCAAAAAGTCCGTGTTTTTAGAGTGAGAACTAATCATTCACGGAGGGTTTTCTTTTTCTCTTCTTTTGTTTCTTGTACTCATTTTACGGGGGGCTCGTACGCTGTTATCACAATCCACATATCCATCCACTGTGTCAAGCACATTTGCACATTTGTTGCCATCATCATTCTCAAAACATTTTCTTTCTATTTGAGCCCTTGGTATCAGCTCCTCATTTTTTCCCCTTCCTCTCCTTCCTTCTTTCCCTCCCTCATGAACCCTTGCTAATTTATAAAATATTATTTTTTCATGTCTTACACTGACTAATGTCTCCCTTCACCCACTTTTCTGTTGTCCATTTCCCCTGGGAGGGGGTTATGTATAGATCGTTGTGATCGGTTCCCCCTCCCCCCACCTTCCCCTTACCCTCCTGGAGGGTTTTCTAAGCATTATGAAGATTGCTTTTAACCCTAAAGGAAATTTTTCTTTCAACTCATGGGTAGGGCACTGACTCCCCTTACCTTTTGACAGAGTTAACAAGCTCATGGTGCGATTGCCTGGTTATATATAGCATAGCATTCAGACTTTGAGGAATCTCACTTGTTCAGGGTTTTGACTTTTTTTGGTGGTAC